TTGGCTGATCCTCCCTCCCTGCCCACACGGAGCTTCCAAGCCTCCTTTCGTGGCCATTGGGATGTCACTCGCTTTCATCCAGACTTTTTCCTCGCGCTGGGTGTCAAGCCCACGCTGCGCTGCCAAGCGGCGGGTGCCTTGCCAGTTGGCAGCCCCGCGCTTCCAGGCATTGTCGGTGCGCGGAGCCGCGTCTCCGCATGGGATGAGGGAGCCTGAGCGCGCACTGCCATTGTGGGATGGCCGGGAACATGACTTGCTGCTTCCCGAGAGGCGGCCCAACGGCCACCTTTGTGCACGTGGCACTGACCTGTTACAGATCCCGCCTCTCCTTTCCCACGTTTCTGCCCTTTCTCTTGCGTCAGGCAGTGCCAAACCAAACAGTGGCAGTACCGAGAAGCGAATAGCGGCCCAGACACAAGGCCAGGGATCACAAAACAGTAACTGGGCACAGCTTGTGCTGTGGTGTCTTCGTCAAGCCAGGGGACTGAACCTCTGATAAGGCGCTGAGGAGGCTAACATTGATCTTTAACTTGGAAATACTGAACTTACATCCCTGTAAGTGTGTACTGGAAGAGTTTCTTGGCAGCTCTTCAAAAGTTTAGAGTGAAGCAGAAACTATGAACATCAAGACAGTCAGGATGTGCTTGGCTGGTCTTTCTGTGGCCTGAAGTGAACCTTGACTGTCCTGTCCGAACACGAACCAGTGGCCCATTACCCGAGGTGATGGTTTCCTGCTTAAAGCGTGTCATAAGCAGAATGATCAGCTGCCTCTGGCCTCCCTCAGTCATCCTCCTCACCCTTCATGAGGGAACCTGCCATCCTAGAAACAAACAAGGATAATTTTCCAAGATCATTACCGCTTTGCCATCTGTCTCCCTCACACCTAGGGCTACTCAGTGTTCTGAAAAATAGATCCAAATTTTGAAATACCAAGATCAAGCAAGCACTGCTTATCATACTAATCCTGGCTTGAACATGAGCAGTGGCAACCCGTAAATAGTGGAGAGGATCCCTTTTGCCAAGCTGGGGAAGGAACACCAAACAATTCTATTTTCCCGCCTGTGGGCAAAGCCAAACAGCCAAAAATATGGTTAGCTGCCATTGCTGAAAGGACAACAAGCATACTTGGAAGAACAGCTGGAACTGGGAGAAGAGTTTCATAGTGATCCTTGGAGAACCATCTAGTATTATGCTAGAATTGGCAGCACACAGCTGAGATACCCAGGTGGTCCCAGACGCCTTTCTGGAAATAATATAAACCTGCAGAGAATCTGGAAAGGAGAGGCAGGAGCTGATGGAGATGCCAACAGAGCAACCTAAAAGAAAGCAATCTGCAGTGAAGGCACAGATAGAACTATCCTATCTTCCTCTCATATTTTGAATCAAATGCAGCCTTCCCAGGACTCTGTACCTCACATCCGTCCAGGAACGCACACGTCTATCTGGTATCTTTTGACATTGTTCCTCTGCAAGGTGTATGAGGAGCCCTGCTTGGCCAGTCGTAGCCCTCCGGGCAGATAAAAGCACTCACACCAAGCAGCTCTCCCCTCCCGGCTCTGTTTCTTCCCCTCAGGATGTTACCGCAAAGCTGGCATATCTCTAAATAGTCTTCCTCAGGTTGTTACTGCACAGTTGGCATATCTCTAAATAGTCTTACATACTTGGTCCCAGTAAGGTGCTCAGTCATCTTTCAATATTGTATTCTGTGTTACCTGCACTGCTTTTTGCCAGAAAAAAAAAAAAAAAAAAAGGCATTTTTTTTCTATTCAGCATGTTTCCAATAGCATTCCTGGGATGGATGGATCCTCTCTGATGGGCCTGATGGGCCTTTTCTTGTTGAAAGGGTGATCCTCATGGAATGAAACTTCTGAGTGTGTACAGAGCAGGCAATGCAAGCTACAGAAAGTGGTGATCACGAGCCAGAGAAACATAACATAAAGGCTCATTGCCTTCAAATCATCAGGACATGTGTATCAATACGCAGAAAGCAGCTAGGTGTCTTGCATGAAACGCTCCGCCAGAGCGTTCCTTGGAGTTTGGCCCTCCTGGTTTCCACGGGCAAGTGAACAAGCCGTAGCAAGCACCGATTCTAGCCCAACTTCCCACCCCCAGACTTCAGCCATCTGCTTCCCCGCACACTCACAATTCAGTGCAGGATGCGGCAGTAAAACAAGACCCTGATGGGGAAGCTGTGTTCAGACTCACACTATCAAATTTCGTTTCAGGAACTATGATGAAAATAATGATGACTGCGCCTACTGGTAGATGATGTTGTGAACAAAAGCCTTCAAGATCAGTTAGTAGGAAGGACAGAAAATAACTCCATTGATCTTGGAACACTTAAAAAGCATACAGGCATCTGCCAGGCTAGAAAAAGAGCTGAAAACAAAACAAAGCTAAACAAAACAAAAAATGAAGGGCAGAGAATGATGATGTTCCTTCCTCCAATAACCCAGTGCAGTGGAGAAGGGGGAGCAAAGCTTGCTGCGACATTCTGTACATGCTTTATCTGGAAGCAGCGTGGATTAGACGCTTCATAAAGCAGCAGGCAGGTTTCTTTCCAAATCATGGTTCTAGCTTTCAACTAGAACTCTTTCTACACGGAAGTATTAACTAGTAACTACAGCTGCAATTAAGAAATACAAGTAGGATATTTGTGACACTTAAGAGATAAGGCTGGCAAAAAAAAAAAAAAATCTAAAAATAGAAGATTAAGATCTGAACCATTTAACTGTTATTGATACCACTGACCGGGTAGGAGATATAATCTGAACTGGGCTGAAAACTGGACCTATAGAATCAGATCAGTAAGTTCTCAGTAATCATGAAAGTTGATGAGATAAAAGTCCACTGGTTTCATTGTGATTGGTAGTCACACAATCGGCATCAGGAAAGCGTTTTGCAAATATTTTGGAAAATACCCTGTGAAAAATATGGTCCAAGTCAGCCAACAGTAGAACACTCTGAACAAATTGTTTTTCCTCTGGGCAGAAACCATAATAGCAGCTGCATATTGTGTTGGCTTTCTTGCAAGGAAGTGTTGAGAAGCAGTTCAAACTGCTTCTTGAGCCGCTGCAGTTCACAGCCATAAACTGACTGCTAAACTTACCGGCAGCTAACATTACTGCAAGCACCTGTAAATAGCTGCCTCTCAGGGAAAACACATCTCTTGGAGATGCCTCTCTTGTGTTTAGAGACATTTCAGCATCTCTCTGAATCCGCTTCTGAGTGTGAGTCAGAGCCCTCAACTGTTACAGTTCTCACACTTGAAAGAAAAATGAATCTCTCTTCATTTTCCAAGCCAACATCTAATAGAAGAAGCCACATCTAATAGAAGAACCACCGGCACAAAGGTTTGGTGACTGTTACTGCAGAAGAAAATGTGAGAGAGAAAAAGGGGGAAAAAAAGATCCTAAAGGTTTTTATTTTTTTCTGGCATGTAACCAAGAAGCAGCAAGGAGACAAACTTTTATAATCAGGAATATGGAATTACTCTAATTTGAAATGGATATATATTGATTTGCAATTAGTATAAACTCTCAGTATATGACTGAAACTTAAGAGAAACCATCCATTAAAAACCTGAGGCACTATTTACCAAGAGCAGCCAGAGAAGAGATGTCACACATCACTAAGGAGGCGTATCAAAAGGCGAAATTCTTCTGCTAGTCAGTATCCTATCACATAAAAAGACAGCAATATGTCTGTATGGAGAACTAAATTAAATTGTTGAAAACAAACCTGGTCTATAGATGGGTTTCTGTAACGCATTCTACCATGCTTTTCATCTTGGGTCCTATAAAATGAACCAGCAACGATTGCTTTCCCAGCTGGTCAGGATCAATGGGACCTTCATGCGATGGTTTTAGCTTGTGTGCGTTTGCTGCTGGAGGATGTGGTATGGCACAGCTGGGTGTTCACTGCAGTACATTGTGTCAAACCTATTGAACCTATTGTAAACCTTACAAGTAGTCTGGTATAAGAAAGAAAAATTGGATTTACAGAACTTGCTGAGGTAAAAAGGAATACTGCTTCACAGTCTACAAATTTTGCAAAAACACCACTTAGATTAAGGGAAACCTTAATCTAATTTTGTTCAGAGTGAGAATGTACTTTTTCAGTGTTCAAAGGGGTTCCTGTGGTTATTCTTGTGTTAACCCACTGAGATCCTAACTGGGTATAGATGTTGTCTCTACAGCTGAAGAAAACTATTGAAAAATTGGAGAAAAAAAAAAAAAGAAAAAGATCAAATGATTTGAAGGTGGTGCCATGTTATAGCAGAAATCTAACTTTTTCTATAGATTAACTATGCACCACTCAGAGGGAAGCTGATAATGGGTATTTCTGAAGAGCCTTTTCACCCAAATCTCAGAAAAAAATATGGGAGACAGCAAGCTCTTTCCACCTAAAATGGATCTTCTGTGAAAACAGAAAGATATATTGCTACTGGAAACGAAGGCCCAAAGAATATGAGGGGTTTCCTAGATATTGTACTGTGAAACACTGTGTGCCTGACAGAAACTCAAAGGCCAGAGAAACTGCCTAATTCCTCCTGTGTTCAGGGAAACTGTGCACTGCTTGACACACTAACTGTACAGTAGTAGGGCCTAGCTTGTTTAAGCTGGTTTTATCCTCAAGTCTATCTGGCTAGTCTAATATCTTGCCTGATCCTATGTTCTTGCTAGCACCATGGTCTGTCTGGAGACAACTAGAACAGGAAAACAACAAAATAAATTTGTCTTAAGTTTGTATTCTTGAATTGGTATTTACTTGTTTACTTGACTTGAAGTGCGGTTCAAATAACGCTTTTGTTTTTCACACAAGTGTAGTCTGAATTCAGATGTAATGATTTAATCTGGTACTCTGCTGTGGTAACATGAATAGAAAAGCTTTTTCTTGCTTTCCCTCCATTACATTACCAATGTAACATCATCCTAGTCTCTAAAATGCAGATATTTTAGGGTGGTATTAATAGTAATACAGATTGGTAAATCACCCACCTGCCAAGGAAGAGCTTGTTCTGGGCGATCTCTTGACAAACTTTGCTGGTTCATAAGTTTTCTCTGTAGACAGTTCCAAAAGACTCCCATCCGCAGCGGGTTTGGTGTCTGATGTGACAGATGACACTGTAGTTTGGCAAGATGGCTGTCATTAGAAATAAAGGCAAATCCTAGTTAAAATTTTAAAGAAGCCTCTGAATCCTTAAATTGTTAAATCAAGCAACAACAGCTCAATTCAAGAACTCTAGATTTCTTTTTTTGTTTGGTTGTTTAAAGGAATGATATTTTCCTACCTTTCAGGATCCCTAAAACCTCTTGTGCTTTACAAGACTGAGAGATCACCCAAGGGATTTGCAGCAACTGACAATGTAATATACACTGTGGTATGTTTCTCTCTGATTTGACTTTCCTTTCTCTCAGATTCCAGATTTTACAGCATATATTTTTATATCACACCGCGATAGCTCAGATTTCCGTACTCCATGTTCTGTTACAGCTGGAAAGCTTTCTGTGTTGGAAACCCAGCGCGACGTGTAACACTGGGGCCTGCAGGAGCTTGGCCTCCTTTCCGGAGGTCCCTCCTTGCAGCCCGAGTCGATGGCTTGACGCTCCAGGCCATGTACAGGAACAGAGAGGGGCTCCAGTCCCATGGCCTCCTCCTTAATGGGCACAGCAGCAACGCGGGGCAGAGCTGCCCACGTACACAGCCTGAAGAGCTGCCCCGGGGCTGCGCCAAGGAACAGGCAGCGAGCTGGGGGACACATCCTGCAAATCCAGTGTGATCCCCGCGCTGCCAGCTGGAACACTCTGTGCACATGGAGCTTTCCAGCAGCTAGCTTATCTACACTTCCAGGAACAGGAACATTTGGCACTTAGAGAGCCATAGTCTGCTTCCAATGCGGTGCTGCTTTGTTGGGACTGCATTTACCTGCCCTCTACCAGGCTGTTTTGTTCTTTTGATATTTACTCTAGATTCCCCTACTCATTCAACCAATGCTAAACAACTGTGTGCCATTCTAGTTCTAACTCTAAACTCAGGTCTCCTGATGCAAGACCCAAGCTTTCCCCTTGAGCCCTCGTTCCAAAATGCTGCTGCTATTTGATCTTCCCTTTCACTGGGCTCGCTGCATTTAGCTAGTTCCCTGGCTACTGCTGTGCTGAACATCAAACACAGGCTTCCAGCCTCGCAGCCCTAACACCTCATCCCCATGACGGCTGTGAAATGGAGGTTTTCTGTGCATTGTCCTCAGTATGATTTTAATGTCTATAATAATTAGAACAGTGCAGATTTTCCTTAATTGTACCTTAGATTGTCCTAAAACGCAAGAGCAGAAGCTGATGTCCAGCTGGCCGGGAAAAGCTGTGCAGTTGCCCACCTAAGGCAGCTGTAAGACCCTTGTACCTATCTATGAAAGGAAGGTAACAGATTTAATTAAAGTTACATAGATTGGATAATGTGCTCTAAGTTACTACATAGATGGCAATGCAAAATGCTCAAGATATCACAAATATGTCTTCAGAGTAGTAAGTGTTTCTGTGTGGAAAACAATATACCAGCAATGTAGCATGGTGACCATATGCTTCATATTATTGGCCAAATTCTTTCTCCCATTATTACTTTAATATTCATAAAACTAAAGGTCTTATATTACTATAGAGTCATACCAATACTGCTAAAATATATTTCTGTATTTGCAATTTTCTTTCATTTTTTGAAAGAGAATAAAAAAGATTGGTATCTTCTTTATAAAATGGGAAGCAAGGAGGATGGCTTCACAATTTCTCTTATATAAAAACTGCTTTTAGTTTCCCCAATCAATCTGTCAATCTGCACATGCCAGTTCTTTCAAGGGATGTGCTTACCCTCTCTCGTGCATGAACCTGCGTTTTTTAATGTGCCTTTCATGAACCCACCAGAAGATGGGAGCCCATGGGTTCCAACATGTACAGATTACAAGTCAAAAACCATACCTCTAGATAGCAAAAATTAAGTATATATATAATTTCCTGGCAGACGTAATATGCACTTAGGCTGTTTTCATCTCATTTTCCTACCCCCAAAAAATCAGATTCATATGCAGCATTAATTTGGAAGATAATGCCAGGCTCCAAATTAATGAAAAGTCCCTGGAGTACTGTCAATATCTAATGAAAGTCCTAAAGAAATTGAGTAGAGCATTACTATTAAACTACCAAAAAAAAAATAAACCCCACAACCTGCATATGCATTATTTAATGAAACCTTTGCTAAATCTTTTTGTTTAAGCCATATATTTTTGACGTAATATCAATAGTTGGATTAATTTCTCATCTAACACTGCTAAGGTGAATTGTATCATATGAATTCAAGCTGAATAATAGGTGAATCCAACCTTTATTGAGTACACTGGCTGTATTCCTCAGCACATATATATATATATATATATATATTTTAAGCTGCTAATGTCGTGAAAACTACAACTTGGAATGAGCTCGAGCAAACACCCTCTACCAGGAACACGGAGCCATTTCGGTAGTTCTAGTTTAAGTGTTTGTGAGGGCAGAGCTCCTTCAAGCTCCTGCTGACCAGGAGGGATGGGTCAGCCTTGCAGGGCAGAGAGCTCCCCAAGAGAGATATCCATATCCCAGCAAATCTGCCCTCTTCCATCCAGGAGAGGGCACTGCTTCCCATGTCCACAGAACCGGACATGGACACGTACAGGCGGAACAGGAAAGTTCGCGTGGTAACTTAAAACTCGGTCGACTTGCCCAACCAGTTGGTTATTTTTGTGATAAAGCTGATCTTCAGAACGAGTTGTGTCATCCCGCCGCCGCCGCAACAGCAATGCAATATGACAGACAACAACCATGCAAGCAAGTTTATTTTCATCGTCCCCAAGGTGTGTTGAGCAATACGTAGATAAATAATACATGTAAAAATAATAAGTAGAAAAATAAGGCATTTTCTGGCACATATAACTCTCTTAGAAAAAGGTGAGATGACAAAAAGAAATTTAGTGTGTAAGCTAGGTGTGAAATAAGGATTAAACTTAAGAACACATGAGTTTTATGAATATTTGGGGCTGCTCATTTGCCTTTTCTTTAGTAAAGCATATTATAAATAAGCATATTAACATTTAAATTAAAAGCAAATGCCACCTAATACTAACACTGCCTGTAAGGACAGTCCTTCTATGGATGGCTCACAAAGATAAAAATAATAGCAAATACGCTACAGATTGAACCTCTGCTCCTAAAGTGTTTGAAATCCCTATATGAATCTCCCGAGACAGCTCTCCTTTCCTATAAGGAGTCCTCCAGCAACAAAGAGAGAAGATCAAACCTGACATTTGTGATTTTTCGAAACTAAAGAGGCCAAGATGAGGGGAGGAAGAAGTCTGGTTATGCAAGACACAAAGAAGTCAGAGCAAAAAAAAAAAAAGAACAGAACCCTGCATGCTAGAAAGTTGCAGTTTCACAAGTGGAATTTTCCTCTTTTAAATAATAGAGAACAAAAGAATTCAAAATTCTGAGTAATTCTAATAGGAAAAAATGTACCTATTAATATAAACAGAATAGAGAAATGTGAAAATGAGGAAGAGATCACTGGGTATAATAATTTGAAGGATGGCAATGTTACCTAATGCTGTTGGAAACATCTTGGAGCCCCAAGGCAGGCAGTGTGCCAGGTTGGGGCACCCCTAACCTCAGCCAGGGGAGCCACGCACACAGTGACTCTGCACTGAGACAGAGCAGGGGACACAAACAGGCCCACGCACAATGTCCATGGACAACAGCCATTTTCTGTGAAAAAGGGGTTTTTGTTCAAAGGACTAACTTCTCTTTTCTATTTTGCATATGGATTTCTCTAAGGGAAAAAGACTAATGAGAGCTTAATTCAGAGGTTGGTTATACGTAGAATGGTATTATCAGCACACTGTACAAAATATTATGAAGTCAGACGTATGAAGCCACTGAAACTGAAAGAAGAGGTCGAGTATGTTCTCATTTTCTAAGATTTTTTTCTTACCCCTCAAAAAATACTGTTTGAAAACTGCTAGTCTATGGTCTGCCTTAAAATCACGTAGAGATTTCTGTAAATCGGTAAACATAAGTAGTACAGAATAGTAAAATTAGATTGTAAAATATTGTATGGGCTGTACTGTGACAGCGCCAGCACGCTGACTGCATAAGGCACTGATTGCATGCAGTATTCTAAGCCTTTCCACATCCACATCTTTCTACATTTTCATTATTTTACCAAAGAGAAAACAAACAGGAAAAGGACAACTGAAATGGGGGGTTGGAGAAGCATATGATGAACATGAAACAGTTGCGAGGGAAGTGAAAGATGGCTATATAGGGATAAAGGAAATGAGAAGAGGGTAATAAGGAAAAGAGACCCAGCAATTCATACTAATTTGATTTGCTTTTTGCAGTAACAGGCTCTGATATCTGTAATCCAAATGAGCACAGGGAAACAAACCCAGATATAAACCAGGCAAAACCATTGCCCTCTATTTCACAGGGACCATTACTGGGTGCAAGCCACCTGCAACACCGAGCAGGCTCCCAGGAACACAGGGAGCGCTGACACTTGGCAAAGGTCGTGTTTTCCACCCCGTACGGAGCAAGCTCCGAGTATGGAGGAGTTCAGCTTCTTACTATTGGGTCCGTATGAAAAGCCATAGGGTTAACGTGAGGATTTTACATACTGCATTTATAATTTCCGTCTGCAGTACTCAGTAGGAGCTGGGTGCACCATAAACCTAACTTTCATTTATGAGATCTATAAGGCAGACAAGAATCATTGCCCTGATGTTACAGGCGGGAACTCAAGGCACAGCAAAGCTATGGCCTGTCTCCTCAGAAGAATCGGGCGCATCACGGGGACTTAGCTCTCCACATTATTCTGAAGCCAAAGGCCCAAGATCACACTGGAAGTCACTAAATGGAAAACAGACACTACAAAACTCTTCTTTTCAGAAAGGTAATAGTAACCGGTGGAAAAAAAGTGCATTGTGCATTATGTCTAAAACAAGATTCAATACCAAGGAAGAGATGCCTGTATGAACCAGAAGGGCATAGTACAACCCTGTCCCGGGAGAATGGACTTTCCCCGGTCAAATCATGAGGAAGGGTAAACAAAACAAACAAAAAGAACTATATGCATCTGTAGGCAGCTGCCAGATCTGTTGATCAGTTAGGCCTATACTTTCTTTAATGTTTATATAATAGCCTAGGCGCTGTATATACCGCTGGAGATAAACGAACGGGATTTGCAGGTGACAGCCATGCCATGAGTAGGCAAGTCCCAACTATAAGCTAAAGGATCAGGTCCTTAAAAAAAAAAAAAAAAAAAAAAGCTCCCTGTGGGGATAAACGTTTATGCTGTACACTGCTCTACACCGTAAAATGTTTCTGTACCCCGCGGAGTCCTGAAAGCCTCGAGTTCTCAAGTAAACAACAGTTGTGAACACAGTCTCATATTCCCTTCTGAAATCCATCTAGCCTCTCCCATCCTTTCCCACATCCTGCTCTCCTGAGACGAGCAGGGATGGTTCCCGGTACCTATTTCGGTCTCCCAGACAGCACACAGCATCTGTGGCTTGGCAGCGCTTCCATTAGGGAGCAGCGCCTCGACCACCTCCCGCTGCCCTTCCCAGCCTCCTGCTGCCCTTCCCAGGCTCCCACTGCCCTTCCCAGGCTCCCGCTGCCCTTCCCAGCCCTCCGGCAGCCCCCGCTCCGCACGGTCCCCGCCCGTGTCCCCGGCCGGTGTCCCCTGCCCGTGTCCCCTGCGAGGTGGCGGCAGCCTCGTGAGGCAGGAGCGGGGCCTGGGGAGACGCCGGGTACTGCCGCCTGCTGCGGCGAGGACGAGACAAAAACACAACAAAATACAATAAATACAATAAAAATAAATAATAATAATACTATGAAGATGCTGGGCGGTTTCCCAGGCCCGAGGACAGCCGCGCGGGCGAGGCCCCGAGGCGGCGGGTGCCCCCGGCCCGGCCGGAGCCCCCTCCCGGCGCGCCCGCCGCTCCGGGCCCTGCGCTGCCGTTG